TGTTCTCTGAACTGTCCCAACTCTATGCCCACATTTGGGCGGTTGTTCCCTGGGAACCATTGGTGTGAAGGACCGGGTCCTGTTCCGACGTAGTTATCCTCACCCCTTCTCCCGTTGGTTTGCAGGTAACCACCTCCGTATTCTCTATCCGGTTGACCCGTACCGAAATCCGCCCGTAGGTTACAGGCCTGGCCTTGACTTCCAATTCCCCCCTGAGAGCTCCAGCAGACTGAGCCTCTCCCCATCTAAGAAGAGTACCCGGATCCCCCACTTGATCGTCTCCCCAACGCCCTGTACGCATATGCGGTCCCACTCCTTGGGTGTCAAGCTGTGCCGAGGCTTTTGGCCTCCAGGTCTGCTGACCTTGTTCTCTTTTTTCATGATGCCGTTGTGTTTAGCCATCTCGCTGATGCGTTGGGAAGAGAACTTGAGCTGACGTCCTTGCCGCTGGCTGTTGTTGGTGGGCTTGAGAGGTATTGACCTCGTGAATTCCCCTTCTGAGTGCATGATTAGCTCTCCCCACCTGTTCTTGTCCTCTGAGAAACTCTCTGAATCTCACTCTGTGACCTCCTTGCCTTTCCCCGTTCACCCTTCTATTCTCCTCGTTCTGTCTGGCCCGCGGGCAGTTTGTCTCTGTGTGAAAGTACCAGCGGCACCGGCGACACCAGTCTGTGTATGGTGTAACGATTTCAACCTTCCAGCGTTCCCCCTTCGGGAACTGGATGATTAGATCATCATCTATTATGAACCGTGCCTCTGGAGCCATATCAAACTTAACATTCATTAGCTTGGGCCGGTCGCGGTCGTACTCTGGATTGTGCATGGCTAAAACCTCCCCAAAGATACCAACTACCGCACTGTGTAGGAAGTAGTATGCATCTAGGGGTACCCGTAGGGCCATAATCCAAAACTTGGTTTCTGCCTCTAAAATTTTAACTTCCTTCAACTCCTGTTGTGACAGTCATGGCTTGAAGGAAACTAGATACTCTTTGTTCTCCAGTTTGATGCGTAACTCTTTTTGCTGGATGAGCCACTCTGCAATCTCCTTCGCCTTAGCCACATATGAGGCCACGTTCGGGCCTTCGAATTTCACCCTGCCCCTTCTTGCTTCCGGTTGGAACAACCTTTTTACAGTCCAGCCATCTTCGAAAGCCCGGATCAAATCTTCCTTTACTGAGCGTGCCAAATTTCTTGCCTCCCCTTGAAAAAGCACTATCACAGATCTCTCCTTCAGCCACTGATCTTTAACTTCGTTTATTGACTCGTTCACCACAAATCTCTTTCCTTCACCGTCTTCGACTACTTTGCCCAGGTTCAATCCCTCCGGGCAAATTTCCTCGTCGTAACACCGCCCCACTGAATCCCTCACCTTTTCGAGCTCGTTCTTTTGTATTTTTACAGCAAAGGATGTCTCACAGTTCCTGCTTTCCCCTGGTTACTTGCCACCCATACACCTTTTTTGGGACAGCTTCCCGTTAGATCCCTCCATACTGAGCGTTTTCTCTGAGGAGGGACACCTTGACTGGAACTTCGTATTCCTTATGCTCCCTTCCCTCTTTCCTGGCAGCCCTGCCCACTCCGAATTGTCACGATGACCGGAACCATGTGTCTGGCACCTTCGCTACTATCCTTCTTCGAAAGGCGACCGTACTACTGCAACCACTTCAGGTACGTGACTCAGCATCCCACCCTTCCTTCCTGGCGACTTCTGACTCTCTCAATGTCTTTACCATCAGCAGAGTTACACCCCTACCGCTCTATGCATCAACACGCGAATTACCGCCAGGAACAACCCCGAAGGTCTACCCCGGAAATCTCTACTCCGTTCTGGAGATGTAAACGCTGCCATCCTCTCCCTTTAATGGGCTCGGGTTTCGAGAGACCACTGTGACGCTCGCCCTGTGCACTGCCGGAGATTGAGAAGGACTAACCCCTCCCCTCGACCAGGTTCGTCACCCATCCGTCCCGCACTCATCCACTCGAACGGAACGAGCCAGGTGGCCAAAGGAACCAGTTCCGTAGTAGCGAGCACTGCCAATCTCCCAATCTAGTAGGCGCGGACCCCGAATTCTGCTGTGGCTCTTGCCATGTGCATCACCAGAGCATGGATCTAACTCTGCCCTTTGACCAGGTGCATCCTATAACTACCCCGCAAAAACTCTCGCTCGTTCGGATCGACCACGACAGAGCTGAGGATCCGCCCGGGCAGCACAGCGGCATGCTACGGCCTCGTTGATCCTTTTTTTACCTCCCAGGCGTAGCGAAACAGCGGGGTAACTCTTCCGGTGAATACCTAGACCAAATGGTGAAAACATGGGATATGGCGCCTTTACTCCGAAAGATCTATCACAGTGTGACTTCGATAGAGCTTGCGTAACATTTCCGCCCGTGGGGCACCTGGTGGAGGGTACTTCACCTGGGATCTCTGGCCTCGTCTCATGATTGTAGAAATTAACCGAGAGATTACCGATTTGAAACGGAAATATAGTTCACTGTGCTGAGGTAATTACACTACTGTCGGAATTAACCGAATCGCACCTTCCTCTTCCCTTCAGTAAAACCTAATCCGGCCTTTACCATACTATGGCCTCCCTCGATATCACTACCCCCGAGGCCGAAGTACGCAGATTGTTATACTCAGATCTACCACACACACCTACTTTTCGCACACCCAACTGATGGCATGATCTCACTTAGAACCCTGCCTTGCAGTACCACCGTGACCACTCAATACGGGCATTGCTCCTACACCGGAGGTCTCCGCACTGAGTCACTCTCCGAGAAGTTCGTGCCTCAAGAAAAACAAGCCCTTTTGCCAAGAAGGCGGCACGATAGATTCCGCCAAGTCTGGAGATACTTTCACAGCTATGGTGCTCGAAAACCAACTGCTACTTCCTCATACCTCCACCTCCACCTACAGACTACCCTGATGCCTACCTGTGCACCCGGGCATAGCCCTACTCATTATGCGTGAGTGTGCAAGGCGGCTCTCGCGCTCCGTCTCGGTGGCGAAGTTGGCGAAAGGGCAGCGCCGCCCGCGCTAAGCGCGTGCGGCGACGAAAACACCGGAGCGCTACGCTACCCGCCCAGCGTTTCCGCTCCCGTCCATTTTTTGTATTCTGTGAATATATTGAAAAATAAAAGAAGTAAAGGCGAAATCGTTATCATTACTCCCTGTGCCTGAATCTGTGAAGAACCTCATGCGCTGTGCTTACGGAGTGTAGTCTGACACTACGCGCCGATCACGGCGCCTGGCACGACGGCAATCATGAACCTGTGTCCGATAATTTTTCGYTTTCGGGGGAAATCTATCCGAGCAGCCACCGTTGAACTACCTACCCCGTTTTTGAAAAGGCAGCTAGTTCAACGGAAGTGGGCCAGGGTAGGGGGCGTTCTAATCGGGGGCGGCCACATTTTCCCCTTCGTTTAGACCAAAAAAAAAAAACGAAAGTCGTTTATCGTTTCACAAATAAATTCAACCGCCCGATGCCCCGCTCCTGGTGTGATCGTGTGAGTCGCCCCAGGTCACACGTAATAGAATACTCAACGTTGAGCTAGCTCAACGGTGCAAGTGGGACATGGCCCCGGGTCCAGTGCCCCTTACATGGATGACCCACACCCAACTCTGTGGAATTTGATATTTTTTAAAAGAACAACATTAAACAGCTGCTGCAGGGAGCATTTCTGATAAACCTACAAAGTGCGGGGACCCTCACCCTCTACAAGCAAAGTGCACCCGCCCTGCAGAATGCGCACACCACACACTAAATCGGCACAAACATAGCAAGCCCGCAACGAGCCCAAGAAAGAGACGGGTCGGAAAAAAAAAGAGGACCACTTGGCCCAAAGCTTAGAACTTCTAACTGCTAATAACTTAGTAACAACTACTAATAAGTGAATAGCTACTAATTACCTGTGTTACCATCGGGCGGCCCGGGTTGCCCCAGATTGGCCCAAGTGGCCGGGCCGGCACAGGTCCGGGCAAAGTTCAGGTCAAACCAAACATCTTTTGCCTGAGGGTGGCCACAAAATTCGCTATGGAATTAAGCCCCTCCGAGCCCTTTCGAACCCCGCTTATACCCCATAGACACCCTTCGGTGAGATATCACCAAACTCAAAGATAAGGCTGGATTTGGGCACCTCTCAGTGGGGACAAAATTGCCCCACTGCCAAAAAGAAAAAGAAAAAAATTGACCCCCTTTTTGTTATCACCCGGGTACCCCGGGCGGGTCACCCCCCAATTCAAGTTCGCCCGGGTCGCCCGGCCAGACAGCCCGGGCAGGGTGACTCTGGTAACATATCTAATTACCATACTTGCAGCGCTTACGTGAGGTGCGCTGCGCAGTGCGGTGCACTGATCGCAGAAAACGCCCGCAAAATTTCTGATACTGCGACCGCCTGATTGAAACCACAACCACCATCAACGAGCCAAAGAACCAAGAGGAGTTCAAAGGATCGAAACAGCAATTCCATTGGCACCAAAAAAGATGGAGAAAAACAAAGACCTTGCTGGAGTATCAATCAACAGCTCGAGACAATCCAAGTACCATGAGAAGGTCCCCCTGCATATAGTACGGTGTGGCCCCAAATTGTTTTTTTCTTTCTGTGCACTTACAATTTTCAAAAGGGAGGCACACATTTAGTTACCACAGCCAGCGCCCTTTTGATTTTTTTTGTTTTTGTAATTCGTAATTGCGCCGCATCACGTATGCGCGCAATGCGGCGGTGCACATGCGCAACTTGCACGCACGTCATGCGCTGCATGTATGCTAATTACTCTATATGATATGGCCGTAACTTACTAAGTTACCAAGTTACCAGTGACTAATTACGACATAGCAGGATACTGAGCAGCAGAGCGAGACGGTCTGATGATGCATGCGTTATCGCTGCACTGCTACAATGTGGTTTATGCTGCGAGATGTAATTCTCCAAGTGACATTGCAATTACTTCGGTTTCATGACCCCCCCACCGACAAGAATAGAACAGGTAACATTACCACTGGAAAGGACAATAGTGTCCTTGGCCCTTCCTTCCAGTACAAGCATTCCTCCGCAGTTTCTCGAAGCTAGGTTCTTGCTCTTGGGGCTTATCCAGCCAAGATCCCCTGTGTCAAACCAGCCATCCTCATCTATAATTGCAATCGTCCCAGCTGGATTCTGCGCATTGCGTCCAAAAAGAAACCACACCCGACTGGCATGTGTTACAAACCCCCGCTGATTGATTCTGAAAATGAGTCCGCACAACATTAAAAAAAGAGACCCCCCACCCAAGGGCCATATATATAGAAACACACTCCCTTGTTTGTTCTATCACTCACTTGTTGACTTTACGTTGACACCATATCTGGCCTTGAGAGCAGCCCCATGCAATTCAGAAAATATTTTATTCCGGTCATTGGATTGCTTCTGGATCCGAGCTTGGGTCTGTATTCCAACAGTTCATTGGTGTACCAGCTATGCTCATTGGTGCACACCCTATTTCTCATCTAACAGGCTTTCCGAAATCTGGCAGGTAGTCCTTGGGAATATCCCTTAAAATTGGAGTGATAGAGAGAAGATAGATTAGCATCTCCCTTGTGTAATGATGACACACACAAATCGAGAAATGATCCAAATTAAAGAAAAAAAAAGGAAGACTTGAGGATATTTGAACCATCCACGCTAAACCAGTGGCCTAGCTCAGTTGGCAAGGCACGCAAGCGGCATTCCGGAGTTCTTGAGTTCAGTCCCAATTGGCCTCACGTACCTTCCTGGGGCAAGCTTGGTGCCCGCCACCTAGAGATAGGCCATTGGTTCCCCCGAGCGGCATTGACTGCCGATGTTCGTAGGGAGAGGGGACTAGAGGGGGGAGGCAGAGTGACTGGCCCATCGAATTAGCTCGGTCTCTGATGCTACCGGCTGACCCCAGGCCGGTATCGCCCACCTGCTGAAGCAGGTATCGCACCTACTGGTGGGTGCAGCTCCCGCATGTTCCCTGGTTGAACACGGTCGGGGCTGCTACCGGGTTTCGTACTTCTATAATGTTAATAAAAAAGGCCTGGAAGGCTTTCCTGTCCAGATTTGACAGGTGATTGAATTTTTGGTTGGGCTTAAAAGAATTAGCCTTTGAAAAGAAGAACCATCCACGCCATTGGCACTCAAAATTATACAGCTCAGGGATTCCCAGGCACTCCCAGTCTCCACGAACCAGAATTCCAGGGACTCCGAGTTCGAGCTGTATAACCCCGGGTCCCTATCATGTCATGGTACACCGACCTGAAAGGCTGAAACATTCACAGAGCTAATGGGAATGAAGAAACTTGTGTGTGTTCTCATGTTTGCTATACACAACTAACTTCACAGAAAAAGTGTGCCTGTGCCGAACAGACTATTTCGTCAGACTTTCACTGACTCATTAGGAGGTTGAACCTCTGTCCAGGGAACATTTCAGTAAAATGAATGGATAAGGAATCACCACTCACACCAACCCTGCGATCCTGGGAAACTGTCGATCTAAACGACCCCTGACAACAGTGGCAGTAAGTAAGAGAAGCAAATTTGTCACAGTCGTAACTTGTGTGTGTGTGCGCATGTGTGGCTTGCCTTCCCCCCCCCACAACACCTCTCTCTCTCTCTCTCTCTCTCTCTCTCTCTCTCTCTCTCTCTCTCTCTCTCTCTCTNCTCTCTCTCTCTCTCTCTCTCTCTCTCTCTCTCTCTCTCTCTCTCTCTCTCTCTCTCTCTCTCTCTCTCTCCACTTTTCTTTTGCCCAAGCAAATTGGAAGAACCTGGCATGGCAGGAGGCAAGGCTGGCAAGCACCTTGGGTTTCAACCACCAAACACTGCAGAAACTGTTTTTTTTTTTTTTTTTTTTTTTTTCCCTCGACCACCAAACACTGCAGAAACTGAGAGCTGTACCCGACGATACAATCATAGCCAACGTTCTTTTTTTTTTTGGCCATTGTTTATTTAACTTTACTATGCATTTCCACTATCGTGAAACAAGCTGTCTGCTGTTATTGTGAGATCATTGGACACAAATCCAAACTGGAAAGTCATGGAGAGGAAATCAGAGCACTTGGTCAGTGGAGACACAAGTTTTCAAAGGCGCATGACGACGAGGATGACAAAAAATAGCACACACACGCACCATCAAGAAAAAAGCAGTTGCACATGGGTTTTCGGCTACCGGAGTGGACGGACATCTACTTGTTAAAATTTGACGCGGAAAACACAGGGCAGAAGCTGGGGCCCACCTTGTAATAGCCCTTCATGACTTGAGGTCCCTTGACTTTCACAAGACCTTTCACACCATCTGGCATGCTCTCACCAGTAACAGGGTCGACAACCTTAACTTCTGTGAACGGCACTGGCGGCCCAACCGAGCCCAAAGCCTGCAGAAGGTGACGCACAAGCAACCCATCAACGGATCAATTTACGGAGGATGCATGTGAGAGCCTTAAACCACCAGTCCATCCGAAGCCAAAATAACGAACCAAAAAATGCATTTTGCCGAGCCTAAAAGCGACCAGTATCGGCAGTGGGAGAATCAACAAGGTACCAGTACCGGCCTCTTTATTATTGAAAAGTCTGCAGTTCCCACAGACATTTTGGGGCCTGAAGGAACTGTTCATCCATTGCTCTACCGGCCTGTTCATCCATCTCTCTACCGGCCTGCTCATCCATCTCTCTACCGGCCCTGGAGCCGAACGGGCCCGCGGTACTCGTATTCAAAAACGGATGAACAGTAAACTTCGGATGGACTTGTTGTAAAGCCCCTGGGCCGCTCGGAATACCGAGGTTCCTTTTGTCAGCGCATGGCACTACGTACCTGCGAAAATGCGTTCGAGGGGTTCAGCTGCAGGTTGCTGTTAGCCACTGGGTGGTACCTTTGGTCGCTGCATTTATAGTCACAGAGCTACAAGCTGTGTGTGCGTGTGTTGAAGACTGTTGCTAGAACAACCCCTTTTCCACCCAGATAGGTAGATCCAAAATTGAAACAGCTTTACCTCACATGGCTATCCACTAAAGGAGTCAAACGAAGAAAAAAAAAAAAAGCAAACAATGTGAAGCACACTAAAACTGTTGCTTGCCTTTTTCTGTGCAGTTCTTTCTTCTCCTTCCTTACTTCATCTTTTTTCGCGGTTTCTCCGGTTTCTCTTTTCTTCTTCTCCTTTTAGCTCCCCCTTTACTGTCCCTCTCATGTACAAGGCCTGCCATGTCGATGTAGTTGTTGACCACTAGCTGCCCACATCTCCATGTGCCATAACAGCCCGCTTGCATGCTATGAAAAGGAGGCAGAGTTAAGGGGCAGTGTGCGTGTGTGTTTTGTGTTGTGTGTTGTCTGTGTGTGCATGTGTGTTTACTGTCCGCCTCATGCACACGGCCCGCCATGTCGATGTTGTAGTTGAGCACGAGCTGCCCACATTCCCATCTGCCATAACAGCCCACTTGCACGCTATGAAAAGGGCAGAGTAAAGTGTGTGTGTGTGTGTGTGTGTGTGTGTGTGTGTGTGTGTGTGTGTGTGTGTGTGTGCGTGTGTGTGTGTGTGTGTGTGTGTGT